TCTTTGTGGCAGCCTGTGTAGATCTTTAATTTTGTATTTTGTCCCATTGATAATCAAGGCGTCTGCAATCAATGTTGCTTTCATATTTTCTTCTTTGGCAGCCTTTAGTATGGGCAATAGTACTTTACGATCACGCTCAACATTGGCTGGGAAACTTTCCTCCAGGAAGTATCCTTGAAAGTCCTTTAGTTTAGATCTATTCCTCCAGACTCTATCCTTATCTTTAAACCATAGGAACTTAGCAGTGATAGTTCTGTTGAACCTGAAATTCTTTTTCGGCCCTAATGGGATCCTATGCACTCTTTCGAATTTCATGTCATCAGGGTTTAATCCCAGCTTATTTCTGATAAAATCTCTCACTAATTCCTCACAATTTTCTTGCTCTTCTACTTCTTGGATACCTTTGAAATGTAGGCTGCTTCTGCGAGAATATACGTCCATGTCGTTTTGCTTTTCTTCTAGTCTTGCTATTGTAGTTTTTAACTGTATCACAGACACATTGAGTTGCTCATTTGTTCTCTGTAATCCATCATTCAGCTTGGATACCTTATCGTTTAGACTTTGTATATCAGTTCTGTGCTCATCCAGCACATCACCTAGATGTGATAGGCCTCGCTTTAGCTCAGATAATTCTTCTTTTACTACATCTCTAACCACTGATGTAAGGTCACTCATTATTTTGTCCTTTTGCTTCTCTAATTAAGCATCCAGAATCTCGTTAATATCATCCTTACAAATTGTGCTTTTCTTTGGTGGCATTGTTAGTGATATTTTACAAGCTTGATGTTCGGTATCACTGTAATTGTGAATTGTATAGGGGATGTTGCCTTACTTACAGAACTTAATTTGGCTGTCATTCACCATTTATTAAGCAGTAAAAAATTAATTTGCTCCATGGGTGACAAATTATTTCAAGTTTCCTGGTGAATGTCGAGTCTCACATCATACGAACGTAATTTTAGGCGATCTGTCTGCATGGGGTGTAAGTGTAAGGTAGTTGTAGACGCAGTACTAGTAGCGAACCGAATGGCCCGATCTCTCCAGAATCATTTGAAACACAATGAAACAAAATGTTGTTCAATGCTCGATTCATTATCTTAAATGTGTAACCCAACACTCCGATAATACTGTACTGCATATAAGGGAGCATTTCAAAATATCGATATTGGAAAATTGATTGTATTTGAAAAGTCAGGGGAAGGGGTGCATAAGCATTGAAAATTAGAAATCCGACATCTTGCCGAGAATTTTATTAGTGTATGCTCTTCTCTGCCCAGTGCAATTTCAGTACGAAAAGAAAAAAGCGTGAACAAGTACAAGGGGTGAACGTTTGAAACCTATCCATGCCAACCCAGGTAATAAATACGAACGTTTTGTCAATGTGGTCTGGTCTAGAAGTTCTCAGAAGTTCAAAACTGACATTGGATTGCTGTTTGACCGTCAATGACCCTCTCAAGGGAAAAAAGGGTTGTTTTTCATCATTTATTTCAATTAAACATAATTATTTACAGGTATGGTACAAAGATGAGGTTTCGAATTCATACATATTTCAATATACCACTTGTGAATGGGTAACTTTGCCATCAGTATATTTTTGTAATTCTTTACTTTACCTATTCCATATATTTGATTGGCAGTTATGTTTTGGAAATGTTTAGTTCAAAATTCAGCAACTACTTTGGATTTAACAAAATGATGCTTTAAATAATCTATTTCATCACAGTTTTTACATTTGCTTGAATTTAAAATACAATAGGCAGTAAAAGATCACAAAGATATATTGAATAGAAAATCTTCCGGTGTAGTATAACTAGGTCTGTTGCTGTTGTGCAATTTCTTGCCAGGGTTTTCCTGTTAACACTTCATTTTTGAAAGTTTTGCTAACATCACATATAATATTTATTCCATGCTAATCATTGAAAATACAATTATCTACCTGTTGCTTTAATATTTTCATTATGCCATAAAATAGAGCTGTCTTTGAACTTATTGTTTGATTTCCATAGACATTATAGTTCTCTATAAAATCCTAATAATTTTTCAGTATTCACAATATTTTTGAAATCATTATTACATTGAAATATGGTTAAATCTTTACATAAAGTACCATACAAATACAGAGGTATTTTCCTCCAGATGCCATTTTCATTTTCTTGTAGCTGTTTGACCCATTTAAATGCTAGAGCTTATTGCATATATCAAATATATTAATCATTTTTAATCCCCCATTCTTCTAAGAAGATATTCAGGTAATTTGAAACTTTGCAGTAAATATAAAAATTGCGAGGAAAGAAAATACTTTGCTATTAAATGTTAATTTTACCTTCACACTTTTGAGCCTTTTCATTTGTGAATGGTACATTAACATCATGCAGAAAATCATCTAAATCTGATTTACGATAAGTATTTGATTTTTTTTATAATTCTTTGTAAAACTTCATTTGTTCATTCACAATGCGGTTTTGATTTACAATAATTTCACCATTGTCTAACTGGAGCTTACTCATTTTTTTCCTTGAACCTCTTCTAAACATAGAAAATATTTGGTGTTCTGCCCATAATGCTTTAGACCGTAACATAGCTCCTTTTGCTTTGGAATATGATAATAAATTCAGCTCGTTCTTTAGCATATTGATATTATTTACAGTAGTGATATCATTTGGGTTTTTACATAGCTTTTTACTTTCTTTTTTAAGTTGGTGTTTTTCAGTACAAGGGGCGATCAACAAATGACGCAAATAGAGCCCTATCTCAGAAACCAATTGAAGTTAGGACACCAAATTCAATACTTAGTATCAACAAACATTCCTGATTATTTCCACAAAATCTGAAGCACAAATATTACTTTATGTAAGAGTTATGGTTGCCATAGCAACCCGTGGTATGGGCACCTGAAGCAGGTCGTGTATCATAACAATAAGGTATTGAATGTCTATCCAAAATTGGTTTGAAAGACACTGTTAAGTCATACAAATTTGATGTTATTTTGGTGTAAATAAATTCTGAAAAGTTTCTGTTAATTAATGTGATCTACTTTTAATCATTATGTCATAGTACCTACCCAACAATAGGTTTGTTATTACGCAACACATGGCTACACATACCTCACGATAGGATGACAGAAAACACAGGCACTAAGGAAATCAAAGTCAAGTCAGCCATACTGGAAAATGGTAGAATTGAAAACTGTCATCAGACCTCCATAGAAGACAGAAAGTACTGATATAATGTTGTGTTTTGAATGTGAAATGTCACTGCAAAATACCTCTGAGATGCTAAAGAAGTCATTTGGTAAGGCAAATGGACTAAGCAATGTCTACAGATGGTACAGAACGACTTCCTGAAAAACCAAGAAGATCTGCTGAGAATGCTTCCCGTACAAGTGCTTCAAAAACAACACACACGGCAGAGATGATTAAAGAAGTAGAGCAGCTGGTTGTGGATGATAGGACTGTCACTACTTAACATGGACTGGGCATGAGTTATGAGTCTGAAAAATGATTATCAAAAAAATTGTGACATCATATATTTCAGGTGTTTCAGGTGCCATGGACTTGGGTTACCGTATGCTAAATCCTTATTGTTACTAATATACAAGACCTGCTTCAGGTACCCATACCACGGGTTACTACGGTAACTGTAACTTTAGCATATATCAATATTTTTGCCTGAATTTTTCTGAAAATATTGGTGAATGTTCGGTAATACTATGTATGAAGTTTAGTGTTCTAACAGCGATAAGTTCCTGAGATAGGGTTCTATTTGCGTTATTTATTGATCGCCCCTTGTATATATTCATCTCTGTTTATTCTTGCTTTCAGTCTGCTATATAATACGAACTTCATATCTCTTTTGTTCTCACAGTTTTTTTTATTTTTAGCGAGGCATAATATTTGAACTGCCAAGTACAATATTCCTTGTCATTACTCCACTACTTTTCCCAACGAACTAACTTACAAATAAAGTGAAGCCCCCCTTTGGTCTATCGGAAAAATAACTTTGATACTTGAACGTCTTAAGAGTACTTATACGTGAACGTGTACTTTGTAATAGTTTGGAGATTTCCTCAACGTATGGTTAGATCATACTTAAAATCGAATGTATTTTTAAGAAGATCACGTGTATTGTATCTGGTTTCCGATATGTACTCTTAAAAATTCAAAGTGACCCAACAAACATTGAATTAGCCGGAATTCTTCAATCTACAGGGTGTTTCAATGGGGCAAGTTGGGATTCGATGGGGCATGATGGGACTCGATAGGGCAAAGTCATCAAGGTCCCATGGGACTTCGTGGGATTAGATGGGGCAAGTTGGGATTCGATGGGGCAAGATGGGACTCGATAGGGCAAAGTCATCAAGGTCCCATGGGACTTCATAGGGCTCAATGGGGCAAGTTGGGATTCGATGGGGCATGATGGGACTCGATGGGGCAAAGTCATCAAGGTCCCATGGGACTTCGTAGCATTAGATGGAGCAAGTTGGGATTCGATGGGGCAAGATGGGACTCGATGGGGGAAGTGGGATTTTGCCTCATTGGTGTATACCGGGCTTTAGTACATTGTACTATGTAAATGTTCAAACTGAGAATGGAGTCAAGGTACAATACTCCATCTATAATCTATATTAATTATGTGGTTATTGTATTAAGTTTCATGGACTTGGACTTGGGTTCAACAATAGTTCTTCAAATGTTTGATATGATGAATGTTATAACTATTTGTTTTGGTAACGTATTTGGTAGGTTACCCTGTATAAATGTATATGTATACACCCTGTATGCATTGCGTTCCTTGGTAATACGTGTAATTAGAGTATTGTTCCGATATGGATTCCAGTTAATCCCACCTAATAGTAGTTATAAAGTATATTTCTCCAAAGCAACCTTGTGTTCAGTGTCTTCAGATAAGCCTAGTTTCCACAACGCACACACCCTGTTTAATTGTTGATTTGATTAATGAGTTTAAGTTTTCTACTGTCAACACACACCGTGTTTTCCCGTTCAGTTTAAGCGTATTGCATCTTTAAGAGCCTGAAAAATTAGCAAATGATACAGTTTACTCATAGACTTATCTATTTTCAGACTATACATACCGATGACAAACATTGAGTACTCAGATTCTTAAAATGCCAAGATTATTGAAAGAGAATTTCCGATTTAAAAATATACATGAAAACAATTCATTATTTAATTTTTGATTACCTCTTTTGTTTCTTCTACAGACTCACTATATTGTCTGCTTATCTGTTTCATATATTCTTTAATGGCGTTGTACTTCGTTGGATCAGTCTGTTAAATACAAAACCTAACTATTAATACATTTTTGCATATTCTCTATCCCTCTTAACCCAGATGTAACTATTTCTCAGACAAGCTTTTATTCATCAATGCAACTGTGAAACAGACTGACACTTATGTGACTATAACGATTGAAGTAGGACTCTTGCAACACAATAACATTACCTAAACCGCAGCTAGGCGATTGGGTGCCGTAACCACGAGGTTGCGAGATCGAGACACGTGTGCCCCTTGTGTTTATTCATTTGAGTAGGTTATGGCTGTCGTATGAAATTACTAATGCGGGAAATGTCGGGGTTTACTATAGTCTCACATTATTCTCTATCAATATGTTTGTTCAGATTACATTTACGGATAATCCTGTTTTACCTGCGCTGCTGTCTTTTCAAGTTTTTCAATATCGCCATATAACCTTAGCCTGTTGTCTTCAATCTATGAGAAATATAAATACAGTGAATGATGTTTTAATTGATATAATCTCGAAGATAAAAAAAAACAATAAAAAGGTTAACGCCAGAAAATAAAGAGTTTATCAAAAATTGGTATATTTAATTATTATATATGATTTTTTGATTTCTTATGGTTTTGAACGTTTATAGTTACCGCCTTTTGTTTGTCAATATCGACAGCTTGCTCCCTGACCTACAAGGCGAAATAGCATTACAGCTTACTTAAATAGTACACAGAAAAGGAAATGTTAAATACTTAGCATGATAAAATTACTATATTATTTTAGAGTAAGATTTTTCTTTATTTTGTGACTATGCCAAAGAAAGGCATTGAACTGATATAAAAGGATAGTCCAATTTTATTTAGTTTAATTTGACATTGTATTCTAATAAAAATCTTACCATATTCCTCAATCGATTGATCTCATCTTGAAAGTTCTGGTTTTCGCTTTCACTCTTCTCAGCCTTAAGGAACATTTATATCCATTAATGTTGAATAAAGCATATTATATTGTGCGCATGTCTTTAACGATTTCTTATACGATAGCCTATTTTGATTTTACTGAAATCTCTTGGCAATATTGCAAGCAATACACATTACATATATTTATTGTTTACTTGGAAGAGATTGTTTTACTGTGTTCTGTTAAGTTACTTTATGAATTTTTCAAGTCAATGGAATAGACGAATGTAATTCGAAAAACATTTTGGATGCTAGAATATTAAGTTGAATGAAAGCAAAATTCTTGTTTTGTTAAATGCTTTTGCGTCGACTGTCGGGATATGTCATATCGATATTGAATCTAACGTCAATTTAGCTCAGTGTTCAATTGTATTGTAATGGCATACTTACCCTAATCCTCAATTGACTGATCTCATTTCGAAGTTCCAGGTTTTCCCTTTCTCGTTTCTCGGCCTTAAGGAACATTTATATCCATCAATGTATAATAAAGCATATATTCAACACGTCTTTATTAGATATTTTTATTAGATATTTTGACTCGATATACGAGAAATATATTTATTACGGCGATATCAATCTAAACTTTATCAATCTAAACGTTTTGTTACAACATTTCGTTGTATAATCTACCTGTACAATAACGTTGTTCTCCAACTCTTCTGACTTCTTGAGTTTCTCTCTTAAATGCTGAATCTGTAATTAATAATAATCAACAGACGTAATGAGGAGATATGCTTGTAATGGGGATTTGGAATTTCAAGTACAACAGCCTCTGATGGAGATTCAACAAAAACTAAACAAATGTAGGTCCACCCTAACGACTGTTAATGTGCTCTTATTTATACTCATTTATTTATTTGCGCTGTTATTATATTCAATTCATGTTTAATGAAGCAGTATACACCTATTTAGGGTGTCCACTGTAAATAATCTGTATTCTGATTTAATGTTATATCAAGGAAATAAAAAAATATATATAAATGAACTTTGAGACTTGCCAAAAAGCAGCTTGGTAAGGGCTATTTTAACCACCCGTTTAGTATGTTGCTGCTTTTTGTGACTATGCTCATACGACGTATAAGCAAAATGTTTTATATCTTTAGGTTGGTGGTTTATCAAAGAATACTTGTAAAGTATACAGATTAATGTATCCAAAATTAAATAATGTTGAAAGAATTTGAAGGGTGGGATGGATTCCAAATCATAGTGTTCACGATTTATAATATAAAAGATGATCGTACAGACGATCCCTTATTAATTAAAATTAACAGTTGCTCACCTCTTCAATTTCTGGGTGTTCATCACGCAGAGCCTTGAGATTTTTCACATTACCCCCTTCCTCATATGCTGTCTTGAGAAGTATCAATGCGGTTATCTTTTCATCTTTAGATGACTTATCTACGCTTTCCTCGAGTACTTTCTCAGCTTCTTCATATCTCTCTTTCTGAATGAGGGCATTCCCACGTGCATTCATGCCAGCTGTATCCATACTCTTGCTTTTGCCTTCACCCTTACCTCCTTCACCCTTGCCTCCAAGGCTGTCAAAGAATTTATCGCTTATCTTTGTATCCTTAATGTACGTATTGCACAGAATATACAAAATGTACTGTGTTGGTGAGATGTTTCCAATATTCTTGTACTTTTCGTTAGCTTTTTCCAAATATTTCTTCGCATTGTCGTTGTCATTCATCAGGAGGAAGGCTAGTGCTTTATTCAGATCGGAATCGTCATAGAGAGATGCGGTTTCGAGGGATTCAATTATATGTTCAATTTGCCCGGTTTTTCTTAATTCTTGTTCTTCATTTCCGACTTTTTCGATCACTTCATTTACACATTTAGATGTTTTGTTATGACCATTCCCGTCCTCAAGGTCTGTCTTTTTCCCATCTAAATTTGCATTCTTGGATTGCTCTTTCTCAATTCGGCTGGATTCAGCTTCTTCTATGACACGAACTAATGGGATTGCAGTCCAGAAATATCGTAGAATGAGTTTCTTACAGAACGTTTCCTTTTCTTCATTTTCTACAAGAATGTCAGGTAACAGTTGACCCTTTTCCTCATCTACTTGGCCATCACTTTCTGCATAACATCGTAATCGTATTTCAGCAGCCGTGGACAACGTCATCTTCAAGTTGTGTATGCTTTCTTTTTTAATACGTGATAGTTCCTCAATTTTCCAGACACATGTTGTTGGACTTTTCAGGAGGTGTAGAAGGTTATTAATTACAACACTAGGGAGACGGTACAGTTCCTTTTTCACGTGAATCGATTCCTTGGCAATGATTTCCCGATCGTACTTGGCGTCATATATTTTCTTGATACAGGAGTGTTTGACAAAATCCTTTCTCAACTCTCTTTCGATCATTCTTAAAACTTGATCTCTTTTGGGAGATTCCTTAAAACGCTCCTTCATCTCTTTTTCAATTGATTCATCCCCATACAGTGTTGTGAAATCTCCCTTAAAGAGAAATAGTAATTTGTCCAATGTTTCCTCAGTTTCTATTTTCTCGAAGAAGTTAATGAAAGCAGCCTTTGTGTTTGTTAAGCTAAATTCAATATTTTCAGGTTGTGCCCGGTATGTGAAGTAGGGTGTTTTATTTGCTCTTGGCATCATTCCATCAAATGAAATCCCCTGCTTGGTCTTCACATATTTTCGCAAGTCAAAGTACCAGTCCTTGGTTTTGTCATTAGCATCAGATTCGCTCAGTGAATTTATGTCCATCGCTGGGAGAACTGTTTCACCAAATGATAACATTTTCAGATGGAGAGTCATTATTATGTTGTCTAGCTCTTTCTTATACGTTGGGTCCATTTTTTCATCATCCGAATTCTGAACAACAGCAAATTCTACATCAGAATAAGGAGTTGTCTCCATTCTTGATAAAGAACCAAATGCAATAAAGGCAAAGTCTTCTTTCTTAAAGTTGTGGATTTTCCGGCATTGGGCTATCATCTTAGTGACAAAACCCTTCATTTCCCTTTGAATCCACTTAAATATTTCCCCATTTTTGTCTATGCGAGCCTTTTCACGTTTTAGCCTTGTCTCCCTTTTTATGTTGTCTTCATAACAGTCGCAGTTTGGGTCTTTATCTATGGCCTTTATCTTTTCTTTGAGCCTCGTTCTGATTCGTTGAAGCTCTTTTTTGTTTATATGTTCATCGTCATCGTATTTCTTTAGCATTTTCTTTACTTGATCATCTGGTAATTGCTCTCCAGTGGAAGTGCATTGTCGAAAAAACGATTGTAGTGCCAGACGTTTCTCTTCTTTTGTTTTGCATAAAAGACTAATTCTATCTTTTTCTTCTTCTTCTTCTTCTTTTCTTCTTTCGATCTTCTGTATCTCTTCTCTTCCTTCTTTTACTTTATTTCTCTCTGGCGTTTCTGCCTTACTACAGTTGTAGCTTTCTTGACAATGAACAATTGCACATTCATATATGGCAATTGCTTTGACAATGTCCAATTGGTTTTCTTTGATTTCACCAATTTTTCGATGTATAGTACCTATTTCTATAAGTTTTTTCACATGTGTCTCGATATGTTTCATCCACTCATCAAAACCTGTTTTCTTTTTATGGTCCTTATGTTGTTTATTTATCATCGCTATTTTCTTCAATTCTTTTACACATTCTTTTTCTTTATTTTCGAGGTTTTGAATACCCATAGTTGGTATTTTCTTTAAAAGCTGCAATTATAGGAATACAACGCATATTTTTTAAAAAATAGCGATGTCCCTAAAAGATGTATTCAAACCGGTAAAGTGAAAAACGGGATATTTTTCTAAAATTAGGAAGAAACTGGGGATCTTTAAGTAAAAAAATGGGTTAATTTTCTGGAAAGTTATGAGAAAATCGGGATTTATTTTCTTTAAAATCAATAAAAACCGGGTTTCTAAACACCAGGAGAATAATTGAACTTATTTTGAGTTAGGCATGTTAAGGCCATAGAACATAACCTCCAATTATAATACAGTGAAACGGCAATACAATCGGTTGTTTAACTTTAACTTACATTGTCAAACTCTAACCACATTTTATCTTCTTTTTCTTTGCGATCTTTATCTTCAACAGATATCCTCTCATCCTCTTCTTTTCGTCTTTCATTTTCTTTTTCTCGCTTTTTATCAATGCTATTAATATCTAGCTTGTTAACGTCCCTGTTTTTTCGGAAGCAGGAAGAAGCTACCTAAAATAAATATTGATAACTATGCATTTGACATTTAAATATGTTTACATTCCCTTTCCACAATTACTGCAACCGACATATGAAGAATGGTCTCTACAATTCAAGTCAATGCAACCAAGAGCATACATGCTATCAAGTATGGTGTAATTTCTCTCTAATCCTTCATAGGCGCCAAGAATCCGTACCCCTTGGTGAAGAGAAAGATGATACGTTGACCTTTGAGCTCTACGATCGGACGTTAACTCTCTATCCTCTGATGTTTCTTCGTATGTGTTGAGTTATTGGTGGGCCATTGGTAAGAGGGACTATACTAAACTATGATAACATCAGTTTGATCCAAAATCAAATGGTTTTATCCAAATAAACTTATGGTAACGATGGGGCAAGTACGTTGATAGCGATTGACACATTAATGATTTGTTATGTAAACAGATTTATTAGTGACACACTTAAGTAACATATGAAACTCGCCCCTTTAAAAATTGATTCCTTTATAACTATAGAAGCATGAACTATAATCAGATGAAATTATAACTTTTTGAAATCATTGGACCTTTTTCGAAATTTTCTTTCGACAACTAGCATCCTTCTCTTTGTCATTTAACCTATATACTGCCATTACCCAGGCGTATAGTACGATTGAACTTCTTTCCAAATTTGGTTTATTGTTTGTGTTCTATGATAGAATCGATTGCACTACCAAACAAATTATTTCCAAACAATGCATGTTTTGTTTTATTTCTGGGCCCCGGCATTACCCTCCTATCACACCGAACTAGTTATCACCCGTTCTTGCCAGTCCAACGAAAACATCGTGAAACGGGCTCAAGCTGGCTGTGGTCGGGAAATATGTTTAAAATAATTAGCTACTTCTTTCAAAAACAGTCTTCAATACGTCCATCTCATTCGCAGTTCGTTCAGGTCGCACCACGTCGGTGTACACCGTCGTATATCGCGTCCCTTAGTCTAGAAGGTCACCATGAACTGATTACAGAACGGCATGGTCACCATCGAATTGTAAATCGATTCAAAATTCTAAGAATTCCAGTCCGTTCGTACACAGTTGAAGCCCGTTTTCGAGAACGTAGTGAAAACTAGTTTTGTGTGATAGTAGGGTAACCCTACTATCACTAGTTCTCACTACGTTCTCGAAAACGGGCTTCAACTGTGTACGAACGGACTGGACCTACTAAGAACCGTTTGGGATCTATTTACAAACTGCATCGAACGTACTCGAACGGGTAGGTCCTCTAGAACTTAGACAATGCTCAAAATGTTCTCGTGGTCGTCACGTTCTACAATTAGAACGAGTGACAACGTACTAACGACGAGCTGGACGTACTACGAACGGAACCGTCGTACTTCAATCCTACTAGGGACGATTTAACAACGAGTTGAACTGTCTGAGGACGTGTTGAGAATGAGGTAGAACTAATTGCAAACGGGTTTAAACTGATTAAGAACGTATTTAACACTGCTTATGAACGAGTTAGTAAAAAATATAGCTATCACACCAAACAAGTTGCCACTGCGTTCTTCAAAACTGGTTTTAAACTGTGTGCGAACGGAATGAACGTAGCTGCAACTTTCTAAGGTCTATTTACGAACTTTATGAACGTTCTCAGACGGGAATGTGATTTTAGAATTTTGAATCGATTCAAAATTCGATGGCGACCATTCCGTTCTGTAATCAGGTCATGTTGACCTTCTAGACTAAGGGACGCGTTCTACGACGTTGCACACCGGCGTGGTGCGACCTGAACGAACTGCGAACGAGATGGACGTATTGAAGACTGTTCAAGAACGAAGAAGCTAATTATTTCAGACATATTTCCCGACCACAGCCAGATTGAGCCCGTTTTACGACGTTTTCGTAGGACTGGCAAGAACGGGTAAGAACTAGTTTGGTGTGATAGGGGGGTTAGGTAATTCTGTGGCCCATAGTATGTTTTCATATTAATACGTACAGGTTGGTCCAAAAGGTGAACCCTTGCAAAAGTGTATATCCTAATTATTACTGGCATAAATGGGTTAATATTCTCACATGTTGTCGAGGAAAGTGAAGTTTTTGTGGGTATTATAATGGTCACTCAGTCCTAACTATTACGGAAGTTAAATGGCATCAACAGAGATTCCTGATGTCTGGATGATGTGCTCAAACCATGCCCCAGAGGGGGAAAAACACTACAGTTCAAAGATGACATACGTTTATAATGTAAACCTGTATTGAGATGACATACATCACTGATTGGTCAAAAGTCGACAAACAAATGACTTCATCAATGGCGGTTTCAAAATTTTCGAAAAACGCTTCGAATAATGTTATGTTCATTTCTGGCGTGTTAACCAATACCATAGATTCTCATTTCATATCAAGATAAAGGAAGGTGTACGGAATATGCCTATGTCAATTAAAACATCCCATCGAAGTGTAGTATTTGATAGCTAGCCAATAAAAATTCGAACGAACGAAGGTGGTTAGCAAGAGGCGAAATTATATCTGTCATCTGTAAACTCTGGGGCTTTCCCTCCTCTTCCATTCCCCATGGTTATGGATTACTGCTGCAACTCGATTGTTCAATTCTTTCACTACTTTATAAAGCATATTTCTGGGAATAAAATTATTTTTGAATTTTTAAAAAAAACTTAAACACTATTCTACTATTTTGATCAATCACTATGGCAAATATGCTTTTTTAAAATATTAATATCTTTACCTCGTCATTATTTTGTTTTGCTCTTTCTCTGTCCTCTTCTGCTCTTATTTCATTTTCTCTTTTCCATCTCAAACGTTCTTTTTTTCGCCTCTCATCTTCAAATTCCCGTCTTGCATCTTTGTCATCCCTGAGTTTCTCAAGAAATCCAGTTACCTCTGACACCCCAGCAACATCGAAAATATTATGACGTGTTAATATTGGCACCTTTGTCTGAAAATCAATATAAGGTAAGCCATAACACTAAAGGATAGATATCGATATGGTGAACTGAATACAACAATGTTTTTATCTTAAACCAGTAATTAATGAAAACATTTTGTAAAAAACACGGTAATGTTGTAATGTATATGTAATGTATGTAATGTTGACTGATTGGCAAAAATTAATGAAAAAATTATTTGTATATATTTTTTAGAACTGTTTTGTTTTTAGTGCAATTGTTTTTTTGTTCCTTTCTACCAATTCTTGAGAATGAAATAAAATGTCTTTCCGAACCTTGTTGGAACAAAATAGCATTATACTACATTTTCTTAGAACTCTCAATATTATAGTTATACAAAGGAAATTTTGGTTGATTTAACAAAAAGTATGCAAAAACTTAAAACAAAACCCCCCAAAATGGATAAAAATTAAGATAAACTTTTTTTCATTATCAAGATACTTTTTTTTAAATCAACCAAATTATTCTTTGTACAATGACAATATTGAAAGACCTAAACACGATGTGTTTATGTCATTTTGTTCCAATGAGGTTCGGATAGATGTTTCATTTCATTCCGAACATATGATACCAAGAACAAAAGAAGTGTCCGATATGTTTTCTAAAACAGTACAGAGAAGAGTATATGTATATACGAGGGGTGATTCAAAAGTAATGGACAAAATTTTATAGGCATACTAAATTTCACCCAATCAGTCTAATTTTTTCACAGTGAATAGATCAATCAATTCTCTACTTTGTGTCGAATTCTCATTTAAATGCATTTGAAATTGTTTCAGCTATGCGTAACCATGGTAACAAGGGTAAGCATGGGTGGAATTGGTTTTTTAATGATAATTGAATGTTTTTGTCATTTTTGCTTGATTTCGTTTTAATGACTTAATTACCACACATGATATGTCTAACAAGCATGGTAATGCAATTGTCAAGCAAGACTCACATGCCCATGCATTTGCTGTTGAGTTCTAAATTCAGCAACCAATTGTGCTATGACATCACAATGATATTTCTCAGAATGATGAGTCACAGTGAGTCAGAGAGTAGATCAGACTCTTAGACTCACACACATCCAAGAAATGTCTACTTTACAACAAATCAAAGTTAAGCAAAGGATTGTTATTGAATATTTGGTAGCTACTGGAGAGACAAGGCAGGCAGTTGTCAAGAAAATAAAAGAGACACATGGAGACAAGGCCTTGTCAAGGCAAGCCATTGAGCGATGGTACAAACACTTTAGTGAAGGGGATACGAGAGTCTTAGATCTAAAGCAATCTAGAAGGCTGCTGATGGATTTGGGCATGTGTTCTCTGCGCTGCATGGGTGTGCCGACAGAAGAAAGTAATTGAACTTGGAGGAGAATACATTGAGGATTGAATATAATTCAAATGGATGATCATCAGGAATAATAAGGAATGATATGGATTATTAATGAACTTACTGCGATATGCTTTTCATATACATCTTGCATTGCAAAATATATTGCACCAGCAAACTTTTCATTGAAAATCCATTTGTTATTATGATGAAAATAGCCTTAAAAATGGATTCCGGGTGTATGCACCATGATCCAAGAGAAGTGCTCTATCTCAAAATGTATTTGCATTTAGTTAATAAAATTTTAACATCTAATAGATAATTGATTAATCTTTATTTGTACAAAGCTTCATTCAAATCTGGTAAAGGTAAGCGTGCCTATAAAATTGTGTCCATTACTTTTGAATCACCCCTCGTACATTTCAAATTATTATGTTACCATCCAAAAGATGACCATTAAATTGACGATGTGTAAAATTTTCAGAATGTTTTTATGACTGGTTTAAGAGAAACGCGTGTTCAAAAAGTTCACCATATCGATACCACTCCTTTGAACATGACTGTATTAATAGAGATGTAACGAAGGGATGGCATTAATATAGAGGTCTCCCACAACAGGTTATATGTAAACCGTATCCACAACCGCATCTCGTTTTAATTGAACTAAGTTACGCATAATTCTTATAAATGCGGATTTTAGACACGTTGGGCTAAATACAGGTACGTTTGGCGAAACCTCCCTTGTTAAGGACTATGATCCGTATGTAGTTGATGTAAATGTTGCTTTATTAAAAAGTTGACATTTTGTATTCAACATATTTTACGACTGCTGTTATGAAAGGGACGCAGAGACAAACTCTATGAAAAAACTTAGTGTCACAAAATTAGATTCAAAATTATTGTCAGTATCACGACTTCTTAAAATTCTTGTTTGTACTTAGGTTCCATATTGATGCATTATGTAACTCGATATTGATTAACCTCATAGTTCAAATCGATACTTACGCGTGCCTCTTCCTCTTCGGATTTCGTCAACCCCTCTTCGAACTTCTGGATCTAAAATGTGAAACACAATGACTTTTTCATAGATTAACGTTTTGACACACTTTGTGTTTCCAATAATGACATTAATTAGGTTCATATTACACCAAATACATGCTAGAAAAGAAATGTACAAAATAAACTCGAATAAGCTATGTTTATTGTTTATCATTGTAGGGTACGTTTCAGGAGCATTTATATGAAAATACTATTTCTATGACGTTGCCTATATACAAGTTCGTTTATTAAGTTCAATGAGCGGAAAATGGCCCCACTTTAAAGTTTTCTTTATCTTCTTCTAATTTTCACATAACATCCCTTATTATCTGGTAGATGATATGCGTACCGAAGACTCTTCGGTACGCCTATATAAACTGAAATAAGTTGTGTACGTATATCATTGCACTGTATAACTCTACTGAACTATTTTCCATTTATACGCCTCAAAGTATGAAACAAACCTAGTATATGCGGTGAAAACAGCTTATAACTATTTTAAAATATTCTTCTTCTCTTATTCTACCTCAAAACAAACGATACGCCTCTTAAATACGCGGTAGTATTCCATACCTGATGAGGTTTGAGGGACATATCAACCGGGAATATATTCTATTTCCAGGCAAATATTTTTCGTATGTCCCGCTCTGGAAACGAGGATCCGGGACATATAAATCGTATGTCCCGCATGTGCCGTTCTCCGGTACATACGATGGCTATATGTCCCTCCCCGGGAATTCAGGTCATAACTATTTCCGCACTGCTAAAAGAAGAAAGTTCAATTTCTACTGTTAAACATTTTATTTGTATTTATACCTTCATGTGAGAAATACACCTCAAATATTTTGAAAATGATTTGCTAGTCAACACACCAGAGCATATAGGATACATGCTTATTATTTCAAACCTCATCAGGTATGGAATACAACAGTTACGTATGCACGGTCGGTTACATGAAATACACCTTGGGATATACAATATATCCCTCGGGATATTCCCTGTGTCCAAAATCTCCCAGTGGATAAATGAGGGTTATGTTATGGGAGGTTTTGGATATGGGGTATATCCCGAGGGAAATATTGATATCTTACCGTGGTAAGATAATATATTTCCCGAGGGATATACCCCATATCCAATACCGAGCATCACATAACTAATTTATCCTATGACAAGTGACTTTTATCTATGAGACATTGATTATCCCCTCAACTGATAAATTGAAAAGATTTTAACTTTTTAAACTAATGTTGATTTTATTTGTCGCATATGAAACATGTATATTGAATGAAAGTCAATAATTTAAAAGAACATATTTCAGATTATTAAAAAATCTGTTAAAATGGAAAAGTTACCAGTTATTCCCGGGAATATTTGTGCGGGAGATATATATATGTCCCCGCTCCTCCAAGATATCGATTTTATATCCCGCTGTTATATGTACCTGAAACCTCACTTGTCATAGGATAACCCTACATGTATTTACGTATTAGCTTCATTTCCCGAGTTTGTTGTCTTAACAGATTAAAAGTGGAGTCAATCATGGAATGTCTTTTATTTTCATTGCTAGTTAATCCGCTTGTTCAGGCTAATATGTTCATTTCAACGGCTTTGGGTTCTCATTTCTATCAAAAAGTCATTTAAAAAAGAAGTTTTTTACTTTTACCTTATTAAAAAATGACAGTCGCATTACACTTAACATCCTATTAAATTTTGGATTTATTTCATATAGTCTGTGGAAAGCTATATTTTCTAATTAATGCAACTCCGACTCCGGGTTTACTCCATGGTTACCTATCACATCGAATGATATATTGGTACCCTTTGCATTCGTTCGACTTCACTTCTTAAAAGAGAGCTTCGTCTTCACTCTTTCAGTTTACAATAAATCTCTGATCTCACCGAGCCAATCAGAGTTTGTGAAATACGGACGACTTTCTAAATGGTCATTTGCTCTGACATCCCCGCATAGTCAATGAGCATGTATGTTCCTCCTGCTGATTGGTTGAGAAGGATTCAGCGTGGTGGATTTAAAATGATTTATTTCCAGGGCTCCAACAGGCACCAATCGTCGGGGCTGAGCTGCTAAACTGTAATGTTTTACGAATCAATAATCATATAGTTTGGATGTTATGTGAAAATTCCACGAAAATATATTGAAAAAAAGTTGATAAGGGAGCATTTTCCCTGAACTTATTGAACGATCTGGTATATCTGCATCAAAGATTTTTATTTGATATGGCTACTAACATGTTTTTCAGTTTGTGTCAACACATCTTTTGTCTCTCCTGCGACCTTTGGAATCTATAAAGTAAAAGAGCAACAGCACAAGTGTGACGGTTATATCCCAGATCGTTGATCTACTTGTATGTAGCATTTGTGTTTCACAGTACATATTTTGATTATGTAGTTACTGTGAACAAACATTATTCACTTGAATAAGCAAACGTTTATGATTGAAAAACAGACTGACGCCTATCCCCTTACTGAATATTCTTTGAATTCTTTTTTATCCTGACGAGTTTCATTAGAACTTGTATTTTTACCGGTCGCAGCATCACCTGCACCTTTTTCAGTCGAGTACATTGTTTCTTTTTCTATACATGCATGATTAGGAAGCGCTCCGGTAACATCCTTACCAACAGATCCAAAAGTTCTCTCCTTCGTATCCTTAAAACAGTACAAACATTTATTTTAGTAATTGTGAAAGAATGTTGATAAAGGTAAAAAGGAAATACGAACAAAAATCTCTGTTGGCTTTTGAAGTGGAGCCATATCTTTTTTCATGTTTAATAAATATGTTCGCAAATAAAAATAACACCGACCATGGTTGGAACATCGATGCTTGTTCAGCTACTTGTAGAGTTTACAGAGTATGAGTGACTTGAACATAAAATGCAAATTCAAGTAACACGTTGATAGAGTAAACTTACAATGCCTGGTTTACTGTCTGTGGGACTAGAATTAACCGGCGTAGAAGCGCCATTGGGGAATTTAGATACATCGGGCTGAAAATAAATAATTACGTCTTTATGTATGTAACATGTATGAATGTATCGACGTAACATGTTTTAAACTAATCTTAAATTAATTGCTTGTTTACTCTTTGTTACCTCATTGATAATCATGGCAGTTCTGAAGCCTTTTCATCTGATAAAGAAATGTGGTCTAGAAATACAATTTTATTAGTGACATGACACATTTCAAATGTCAAGTATTTTGTAAAAAACCTAGACTTAACCAAAATTATAGTGCCCCAAAACATATTTTGCCCGCTTGTCAATATAAATTATTCATTGATTCTATAGTGTTCTATTACTCACCTGGTCATTCAGAAATTTGTAAACATTTAGTCAATCAAATTATGTAATTTTACTTTTTCCGTCCATCAGTTTGAAAATACGACAATGGCTTCCCGTTACTGACCACTGATATTTGAAGAAAGTTTATCACATTCAGAAGTGTTACATTAGAATATACCACTTACTGCGTTCGACTCGTCGAGAACCTTCGAGATAGAGATAGATTTGGCGACCGCATCCAGGTTATCCATTTCATCAGGGAAAGCCGTCTACAAAAAACAAATGCAAACTTTTTTATTTTGATCTACATTGTGATTGTGCTGCTTCTTGTACCACTGTTTTTAATCATGCGCCCAATCTTTTAAAATGGACAATGGAAACAATATTTATATTGACTGGAAGTGTTACCGTGTTTTGCTTTTATCGTATGTTGGACTTGGAGATGAGACCGTGGGGTGTTCGGATGAAGCAAGCTTAAATGGAAATATATATTACATAATGGGGGATATAAAGCGGCTAACATGGTGATAATATTCACTTGTTTCGATTGATTTTACGCTAGTTGATCATGCAATGTTTTGAAGTTTACGTTACTTTGAGTATTGACACTTTTTATACAATAATTTAATTGAAACGTTAGGTTATTGTCATTCGAATATTCTGAAATTAAATGATGAATTTACAAGAAGTGCATTAATATCCGAGGCCTGAGGGAATTGCTCTGTAGGTAGTTCCTGGAACAAAATGAAAATATTATCAAAACTGTTCCGATTTGGGAAGCTGAATACAATTTTAGCATATGAATAGATTTTCAACGGAAAGGGTGATATATGGAGACCTTTGGCCTACATTGATAAGCAAATGTTGCTAGATATATCTATGAGGTAGTTTGTGTTGCGTTACAGGTAATCTTTAATATATCATAACACAAGTAGGGCAATTGACCTTCAATGGAGAAAACTTACTGCTTCATTGATGTCATTGGAATTCAGGGCCGTAGGGAGAGGGGGTTCGTAGGGCTCGTGCGAACCCCCCCCCCCCAAATCTTGCCTAAAAAAAATTCGAACCCACCCTTTCTGACAATTATGCAAACCTCCAAACTTTGAGTAAAATTTTTGCAGTCTTTCAATAATATATCGTTTTTGTTTACCCAAAGACAATTAAGTTATATGTCAAGATGGAAACATGTGAGATTTATAGCTTCATTTTGAGTAAAAAAGATTTTAAAAAAAACAGAAAAACAAAAAACTTCTAATCAATAATGGGCGATAATAGGTATGCTCTTTGCACTTTAGGCCTGAAATACTGAAGTAATATCTTCAAAATGAATTCAAATGCACAAACAAAGCATACCTACCAAGTTGAAATTATCTGATTGTTGTACATAACGTCAAAATGGTCTAATTTTCGATATAAATCTGCAGAGAATTTTGTTGTGACACTGGGCCGTGATGCACCAAAATTGTGAACGCTAGAAAATTCTTACTTACAAAGTTTTTTTTTTCATGCTGTAGTTAGATCAGAGAGCACGTATAAAGATCACTCACACAGAGTTGTTTACTGATTTTTGGCTCCTATTTATTTATAAAGCTCGTTGTACAAGCGATTTAAAATTGGGGGAGGGGCAGGGGGTTCTATGTCTGCTAATTTCTGTGAATTTGTGGTATGTTGGGTCCAAATTTAAAAAAATCTGCCCAAATAAATGAACTTGGTTTGGGATATTTTACCTATTTTTTGCTTTTGCAATTGTTTGAGATTTGGTAAACTTGAGAAAATTTGGTAAAATTTTAAATTTTAGCGAATGGGCAAAAATTATGAAAATTTGGCAACAATTAAACTTTGGCAAAATTTATCCATTATTGGCATTTAAGTAAAATTAGCAAAATTTAAGTAAAATTTTAGAAACTTGTCAAAAATTAATTAAATAAGACCAAAATTAAGAAAACTTTGCAAAATTTAAGCAAATTTGGCAAAATTGAGGTAAATTGGCAAACATACAGCAAATTTGGCAAGATTTAAGCAAATTTGGTAAAATTGAAACAAATTTGACAAAATTTAAGCAAATTTGGCAAAATTTAAGCAAATTTGGCAAAATTTAAGCAAATTTGGCAAAATTTAAGCAAATTTGGCAAAACTTAAGCAAATTTGGCAAAATTTAAGCACATTTGGCAAATTTGGCAGAAAATATTAGAACCCCCCCCCTGACAAATCCTGGCTACGCCACTGGGAATTACCAGTGAGAGTAGAGAGCGATGGTATGTGGTCATCCCGAGGCAAACCCTTAAAATGCAAAAATTAAGGTTAATATGAAAGTTTTATATCATCTTGGTTATGGTCATTAGCCTGTCTCTTGCAAATAGTACCACAATCGAACAAATCATCAGGTTGGTAAATAACACTGAAATTATGCTTTATAATAGATTAACACGCGACAGACGAAACATCGTCATTAACATAAATATCTCCCGCAATGCATCACTTCAAGTGGGACAAATTTTCATTGGTCCGTTGATTAAACCAAATTCTTCCAATCTTAAAACCATGTTTTTGTCATACTAATTTCAGGTTACAACCCTCCCAATTGATATGAGTCAAACATATATAAACATGACATCAAACCCGCGTTATATGCACGAGAACTTGTTTCTTTTTCATTTCGAGTCATCGAGCCTCAGGTTCCGGGAACTAAGTCGATGACGTCATCGTAGAACATTTCATGATTATCGTCAGTTTCGAAAAATATTCTTAAAAACGCTTTGCAGATTGCCATAAGGACCTTTATTTTGATCGATTGTGCAAATATCCGTGAAGAGGAATGTCAAATAATGCTGGAATGATGTATTCAAAATCGGACTCAGTATATTTCAATGGGTAAAAAACCCGGATGTAAAAAATATGTTCCCGGAATTGGAGCTCTTCAACAGGGGAGGTGAGAATATTGTTGCCATTTTGAAGGTGTCACTACGGTAAATCATTGAAAAATATTGAAAAAAATCACAAAATTCAAGTTCTGGGGTACATATCGCCATTTTCGAACGAACTAGCCCATACAATGACTATATGTCTGCGTTCCCCTATACATAACCTTCATCTTGACACTATATTTAACATAGGGTTTGCGTCTCGATTTTTAAATATCACTACGCCAACATAGGGACTCCTTTATAGGTAAAATCCCTACTTCACCGATGAAAATTAACGAGTAAAGTAGTTCCAGTTTACGGGACTATATTCTTGCGATAATTTTCTTAAAATGGCACATTTAGAAAGTACTTGGCCTCAGCTTTACAGACATACCTCAAATGGCCACATTGCATACACTTAAACCTACTATACACACCATTGAAGTTGGCATGGCTTCGTTTTTAAAGTATTAAAAAACACTGTCCTACCCGGAAGTGGTATTTACAGGAGTGACACCTGGAAGTGGTATTTACAGGAGTGACACCTGAACTATCGCGTACACCTCTACTTCCGGATATTTGAAGTATTGGTATATTTTAGGATATTCCAGAATACGACAAATATCCAGGATTTTGGATATAAACAAAAAGTATCGGACACTATGCCATTTTTCGTTGTGATTGATACCTGCTACAATATTAAGTTCATCTGAGTGCTTTTTGTGTTTATTTATTTACATGTACCTCATCTTGTCATTATTAGGATTAACCATCATCATTTTTCATTTAATTTATATCTAAAAGATTGTGTTCTGGTATGTTTATAAGAAACAAATAACACTGTTGTCAAATTCAAGAGCCCAATTCACTTTACTATCATAAAATCAAACTAATACGAACTGGATAAAACTGCGTTAAATATATTGGTTTATCTTATTTTGATATTATTTAATATGCCATCCAAAATAATTAATCGCTTTGGTACCACCGTTTGATTTGAAGTATGAGGTCAACTTGCATGTGTCTTCATCAATTTATAACATATCGTTAATCTTTTGGGAGATATTGTATTTGAGATTGTAAATAATAGATTGGTAGGTCAATTAAACATGTTGCTTGTAATTTTGTCACCCCTAGAGATCTGATTCTGCCTTTAGGCCTAATCGGGATTCCATATCAAACCAGTCATTTTTATTATTATAAGAGCAACAGTGCAAACAGGAATGATTGATACAGTGTATATGCGTTTTTGCAGAAAATACGATTAGCTTGTTGGAGTGACTCGATAGAATTAGCTACGTTGACCAAAGTGATTACATTTTCGACTTGACTGTCTTGTTGTTTCCGTAATCTTAATTGACCTGTTGGTCTGTTGGCAGAATTGTTGCCTCAGGTGTGGCAGGTCGCGGGTAATATATCTGTCATGTATTTCAATTCATAAAAATGTACGTAATGTTGTCAGTTCGTGAAAATATTTCATCATCTATTACATAATGCGTTACATTTAATTTCAATTCAATGACTGTATTCTTTATCCCGTTTTTCTGCCCTCAAAAGGGATCTTTGAATTAAGGCTTGACAACACGAATTAAATGTTAGAATTGTGGCGGTAACTTTTTTTTAATTGACTTTCATTGTCGAAGATTGTTCTAAATCAGACGTCCTATGGCCATTAGGCGTATTCCTATAAACTATTGAGTTGTGGTTGTTTTTGCTCACTGACAATACTACTTATGATTTGAAATAGCGAGCCACATGTACATCAAACCATTGGAAAGCTTGTTTAGTGTTCTTTAATCTCATTCATAACGAAATCGAATCGAATGTTACGCACCAAATTACGAAATATCTTCGCAAGCTATCAACATTACGTACATTTTTTGTTTATGATATGAAATATAATATATTGTATTCTTAAATCTATTTTGATCCAAACTAAACTTGAATAATGAATAAGTGACATATTTATGCTTACAACTTGTACATGAAGGTTTGACTTGGGCTTTGCTTTTAGGGTGTTTGCAGTTTTGAGTTTCCTTTCCTTGATGTATTATACTAGATTTAGTATTCTCACACCGGAATAGCCTGACAACGGTAAAGTCAGATACCGTTGTATGGCGACAAATGGCGGACATAACCGTCGCTTCAATTCGATTTTCATGAACTGTATGTTAAATTGAGCGACTAGATTAAATTCCTTTGGTGCTGCAATCACTCAAAGTGTTTGTCTACTGAAAATATAGTTAAATATGTTCTACCATCGAAATAAAAGCTTTAATTTTACCGATCGGAATATGACACGGGACAGCGGATACTGTTTAAATGACAATGGTAGGTGTGGGTCAAATGTGATGTAAAATCGAGGTTACAACGGTAATATTTGACAACGGTATATGTAAAGACAATGGTAAAGTGTCTATTTACCGTTGTCATTTCATTTTCCTATGTTCCACTGCAATACATCAACCATATAGCACCCATATTTTCGGTCACATTCAGGTCAGGGCTGCTTCCAGGATAGTGAAATGAACTATATTTTTGGCAAAACACTAAGTTTTGAAATGCCTGTAACTTTTTTTACCATTTGTGAGTTGAACCATGATACTTGGCAAATCAATGTAACTTTGGATAAGCTTTTTAGGGGGGGGGCATACTTTTTGGACACTCTGTAGAATGTTTTACATAGCTAGACTTGCAAACGTATGGATTACTGTTTAGCATGCGTTTCGACCGTCTTCTCACACCTATCTGAGCCAAACGTTGGTTGATCCTATTTATAGTCCCCGAGTACGGACACCTACGCGCTTTATATAATTTCACACACATTTTAGGGGGCCGTCACGTTGGAGTGGTGTCCTCAATGCGCTGGTACGGCGAGAAAAATATTTTTCGAGCGCGTTTATGTCGTCATAAGCGTGGTAAAAGCTCGGTGAAAGTGGGCGACATAATGTACCGTAGTCAAGGCATTTGATTGGATCATGTTCAAAAGGAACGCGATCTGACCAAGAACTCTCAGAGAACGCAATGGATTTGCGAAAATTGTGCGACAAGCATGGCAACAGCATGATGTATGGTTTCTACTACACTTACCACGCGTAAGGCAATAATATCGCGCTCTAAGACTATAGACCATCGCCGTAGCATCGTAGTGAGGACATTACCCCGATCCGGTGGCCTATTTATGGATAATAATTAAATAATATCTAACAAAACAACATCTGAATGCATAACAAGTCATGCGAAAACAAGACTCAGGTTTCATAAAACCGTCATCTAAAACACAGAAACAAAGACTTACATAAATCAATTATGACAATTCAAAATATTGAGAAAACAAAATTCAATGTCAATGTACCGAAATTGAATGGTAGTATGTACATGTAAAATGTCCTCAAAGATTACTACATTAAACTCACCCCAATCGTCTCATCATCTTTCTGACGCACGAAGCATTCATAGCTACACGCAGGGCAGTTTGAAAAACCCTTTAACTGTCCCGTATCCTTTAGATTCTTCAAACATCTTGGGCAACATGCATGTTCACAAGGCAATGCTGTAGGATGGGTTAGAAGGCAATGACATAAGACACAGGTCGGTCCAGCTTTCACATATCCCCTCGATGTCATTTCGGCGCATTCTGCTAGTAATATGAGTTCGTATTTTGGGGTTTATGATTTCTCAGACGTCTACAAAAAATAGTTTGTTATAAATTGCATACCACTCAGGACTATGTGGTTACTTGATTAAAACATTATCTAAGCAAACATTTGGTGCTGTTTTATCAATATTAATGCTTCTTTTATCATAATTCATTACGTCTCCGAATTTTTTTTTGATAAACTTAAATTGTGTGTTTAATAAGCGCAAATCCAGGTGTGCCTTCTAGATAAAAAAGACGTGTAGATATTTTACCACTCGTAGTACTACTTATCCACTTTAAAAGTAAGATTTCGATAATTTCCTTTTTAATAAAACGGAATTCCGTTCGTCAACTTTTTAGCAATAAGACGATTTCCATGTATAATTCAGCAGTTTTTTTTAAATCACTGCAAATTATTTTTATCTTTTTCAAATAGTTTATATATCAGTCGGCGCGGAACATGAAGCTTGGGACTGAAAAGGGCATAATTCAATACTATTTAAGAACAGAATGCCCTGATTAATAGCATTTGAGTTTGCATATGTTTTGATTATTCTTACATTTGATTACATTATCGCCACTTTAAAAAAAACTGGACGCATTTTTCTCTGATAGGGGTAATAATCGTTATAAAGTTCAAAGATAACGTCGAACCTTACGAATAAGTTGAATATATTTTACGAGCTGTATTATTAGAGCATTTTATTGTTTTCAACATCGTTTACCAAGTAAAACAACATGAAGTGCGTCATTTGGTTTATTGTCATGATTGCAGTTATCGTCGAGAAGGTAAGTCATTGTGTCACTTTACACCGTACTGTAAGAATTAAACGCATTTTTCGTAGGAGGTTTTAACACATAATTTTTTTTCTTTTTTAATAGCTCTTCCATTTGAAAACACAAGTATACACAAAATGCCTTTTAGAATTGTTACGATGTACAGTGTGCAATTACATTATCTTTATGTTTATATGTGCCAATTGCTTGGTCGGAGTTTAGTAATACGTACAGTTTTTATTTTTTCGACATATCAATCAAAATCCAACTAGGCGTCTTGCTCGTAGCTATGTAGGTTGCGCTAAATCATACTAAAAAACAAATTCCCAATGTATCCCACGGTCTAACCAATTCAGACGTCGGCGTTTACGTTACTCAGCCCAACCCACAAGCACACCTCAAATGACAGGTCAACTTGAAACGTATACCAACTGTGTCCTCTACCGTAGCCCAAGCTACTAGAACAATGGTTTGCGTAATTGACTGAATATACATATATTTTTTTTTTAATTGACTGAATATACAGTATATCATTGTTTTGTCTATTCCTCAACACATTTTTACCGAATGTCAAAGATGATATGATGAATATGTAACAGATTTTAGCAGCACAGACCCCTTAATGTAAAAAGCTGTCACTCGGTTAGTCATAACGGCCTAACCCTCTCTATCTAGGCGTTGCTATTAAAATGGGGCTCTTGCGAAACCAGTTACAGATACTTTGTAGAATATAAAGGTGCGAAAATAGTTTATGAATTATGAATATGAACTTTCATTTCCAGTTTATTCAGAAGTTGACCAGACCATATATTTCTATCATTCCAGATCGACAATTCCAGTTCTCAATTGGAAGAAAACAGTAAGTAGAATTATCACTGTTAAAGAGATCGAATCTCCTAAAAACACAATTCGAGTAACCCCTTAATTTTCTTGTTTTATTTGATGTAAAACAAGTTTATTTATCAACTTACCAATTCTGGAGCTTGAATTAATTCGTTACAGTATCAATTTGATGATTGTTCCTCGCCATGAATTTCCACTTTCATCAGTAGAAATTCAAAATAAAATTTAAAAAAACGCTCAAATTTACTCAGTTTCAACAGATTGTTTTGACTCGGAGAAGCCATATTTATAACTTCTAAGGAGTTAAAATATAGATAGACCCCAAAAAACATTGTATATTGTTTAAAACGTATTGCGTTCAATTCTGACTGCTGGTTGTTCTGTTGGTTGACCTGTTGATCTCCTCAATATATTGGTGATACTGTGCTTATGATTTGGTTTGAATATACATGTATATGTGATGTTTTATAAGCAATTATAATGGGACATTACTGATTGTCCGGAAGAGAAATCTGGACGACTGGAATTTTTGTTTTTTACGACCTCTAAAGGTTTTGGTGTTAGTTTGAGAAGCTTCTTTTCATTCTGGTCAATTACCTTTTTTCGCCGGTTCAGTTCTCAATTGAGAAATTATTGGCATACGTAAAACCTATTTAAAACAGCATTTATCATATTCAAAAGCGTTGAGCATCATTGATTCCCAGCCCTCTGAAGATTGAAAAATAAAAATACCTGGGTGTTAATCCATGGATTATTATCTTTGAAAATGAGAAATATATTTTTGGATTACATGGTGTAATCTTAAAGTAAACAAAATGTTTTAAAGTGTATTGATGTTTTTTGGATGAAAAACATAAGCGAAATTCATGAAAAAAATCCCCCGATTCATTCTACAAACAACTCGCCCTCCTTTGCTTGTTTGCGTGAAGTACTTCAGGGTGTTTGACTGAGTGGTCCGCATCTCGTACAAAAGGCTGCGGTGTGTACTTGTATGTCTATGTATACGTGCACATAAAAGAACACAGGGCTCCTTCAAGGAGGGGTATCTGGGTCTATCTTCAAGGTTAATTACGTAAATTACGATCGTATATATACGGGATATACCCAAGAGGTATTGCTCACCTTCATTGGTGGTAGACAAAATACTATACAATACAATACAAAAAAAATTGATAATATATATACATAACTTTTTGAATACAAGGAAATATGTGTAGACCTAATCATAAGGGGTCTGGTGTTTTAGCATTTTGTTACATTTCGTAGTATTTATATCTAACACTTGAGCAGATCCTGACAACTGAAATAGCTTTTCTCAACTTGCAGCTACAAAAATGCGGTTTTCTCCATTGTAAGCACAACGTAGAGTTATTGCGATAGCCATTTTAAAATAAATGTTAGATAACTGCTAACGGCTATAGATAACGAAATAAAACTAACTGATCAATCAAATTGGCCCCCACGTGATTGGTAACGTCATATTCAAAATATAGCTTTGGTTTATTGGTTCCTTAGTAATCACAACGTCACGGCAACCATAGGATTATTGTGTAAACAAATAACAAAACATTTTGGCATTATGACATTATGATCTAATGGACCAAAACAGGGGTCACGTGGGGGCCAATAACGTCACAACCAATTCGAATATTGCTTATTAAGCAGCTATAACGATCGTTAGAGTGAAATAATTTTCACACTACTGATGAGAAAACATGTCCAAATACATTTATCAAAAAATTATATTGATTCCTTTAGGTTAAAAATACCATTTCATATCTGCTTGAATTAATTGAATATGTTTTGGTGATAGTGATGTTCTTTGGCCCCAGGTAGGGCAAAGGCCATCATGAAAGTGACATCTGGTTTGTTTTATCTGAAATGAATTGAATTAATTAAGGATTAGCTGGAATTTCATGTTGATAGAATGACTATTTCTGATATGATTATTTAAGGGTTAATCAAGGAAGATCATACCCTGGTGGGAATGGCAAGGACATATAACCAATGACTGATAACGATATCTGATCTAAAGTTCACAATTTTAAAGTGTAGGTAGTTAGTGTATGATTGTAAGACAGAAAAGCATGGAATTCAAATTGGATATTCAAAACTAAAATAGCATGAACAGCCCATTTATATGAACAAGCAATAGATCTATATGACTATATTTTTATCACACCATTGGTGGGATATAGTCGTCATACTGGTCGTGGTCGTGATCGTGGTCGTGATCGTGATCGTGGTCGTGATCGTGGTTGTGATCGTGATCGTGATTGTCCCGCTTTTTGTCATCGCCGTTTAAGGAAAACTGCTCATCAGATTTTCTCCAAATTCGCAGAGATGATAGAGCATATGAAGTACTAAAGATGATTAACTTTTGGGTTGCCATCTTGTTTTCTGGCGGCCATTTTGAAGGTTTTTCGAAAAATCTTGTCATCGCCATTTCAGGAAAACCGCTCATTGGATTTCCTTCAAATTTATACAAATGATAGAGGATATCAAGTACTAGAGCTGATTAGCTTTTGGGCGGCCATCTTGTTTTCTGGCAGCCATTTTGAATATTTTTCGAAAAATTTTTTCATCGCCATTTCAGAAAATCCTCTCATCGGATTTCCTTCAAATTTACACACATGATAGAGGATATCAAGTACTAGAGCTGATTAACTTATGGGCGGCCATCTTGTTTTCTGGTGGCCATTTTGACGGTTTTTCGAAAAATCTTGTCATCGCCATTTCAGTAAAACCGCTCATCGGATTTCCTTCAAATTAACACAAATGATAGAGGATATCAAGTACTAGAGCTGATTAACTTTTGGGCGGCAATCTTGTTTTCTGGTGGCCATTTTGACGGTTTTTCGAAAAATCTTGTCATCGCCATTTCAGTAAAACCGCTCATCGGATTTCCTTCAAAATAACACAAATGATAGAGGATATCAAGTACTAGAGCTGATTAACTTTTGGGCGGCAATCTTGTTTTCTGGTGGCCATTTTGAAGGTTTTTGAAAAATCTTGTCATCGCCGTTTCAGGAAAACCGCTCATCGGATTTCCTTCAAATTTACACACATGATAGAGGATATTAAGTACTTGAGCTGATTAACTTTGTGGCAGCCATCTTGTTTTCTGGTGGCCATTTGAAGTTTTTTCGAAAAAATCTTGTCATCGCCAATTTAGGAAAACCGGTCATCGGATTTCCTTCAAATTCGCACAGATGATAGAGGATATCAAGTACTAGAGCTGATTAATTTTTGGGTGGCCATCTTGTTTTCTGGTGGCCATTTTTAAAGTTTTTCGAAAAATCTTGTCATTGCCATTTCAGGAAAACTGCTCATCGGATTTCCTGTACATGATATGCCTATTTGATGGTGTGATCTCGTTCACGTCCTGTGCCTTGTTTTCTCCTATATAAAGTTATATTAATCATACTACAATCATGCAATAACATAAAAACGAAAAAGAGTAGAATCATTGTCGTTGTCCTTAAATCTTGTTCTTCCAGCAATGTTGGAATCTGTGCACGAGTAACGTTGTTAGATGTTTTTTTTTAAATATACGTATGTTGAAATCCATTCCAATATTCTCTAGAACCATTGCCACCAATAGCTGGAAGTGTGTCGGCCGATGCCATTAGTGATACCACCATCGAAGTGCAATGGAAACCGGATGAAAGACAAGTTAGAGACTATGATGGTTTTCGAATCTTCATAGCACCACCCGACGAGGACAGTAACGTTAATTTCCTTGTATCCAAAGATGTACATATGTACATTATAACTAGATTATACCCGGGAAGGTTGTATAACATAAGCGTTCGATCTGTTGTTGGATCTGAGGAGAGTCGAGATGTCTACGCTAACGGGGGCGAAGGCGAAATGACAAGTAAGATAGACAGATTACCATTTTAGAAGCAATATTATCCAAAAGCATGCAAATGGTTTCTTAAAATCCAAATTATTGTTTTGTACAAGACATTTTTACATCGAATGATTATACTGAAAGTCAGAACTGCTCCTTAAAAAATTGGCCCCATCGTCAGGACAATATATCATTGTAAAAGTGTCACATGTTCGGACAATACCTCCTACTCGTCTCGATGCTCTTGCATTTTCTTTCTGTGATTACATGCTTTTTCAGAACCAAGCCGTCCTGGAGAACTTAGCCTGGTGAGGAAATCGCCGACATGGTCACCATACCATATGTACATAACGTGGAATAACTCATTGAGTGAGAATGGGGTAGACCGGTACAATGTGTCATTATTATGCGGAACTGGCTACATTTGCCCTGTTGAACGGCTACGAAATAACCATGGCGTAAATATAACAGGCCTACGGCCGGGGATAGCATTTTGCATCCAGGTCACAGCCGAACTTCGCAATCGCATGAGTGATCCACGTCTCAAATGTTTTTACACAGACGAACTACGTAAGTGATGCTGATTCAACATGTAAATTACTAACTGATTGAATAAATCTCGAGCTTTATCTAAATTGAAAGACAAATGTATTTTTTAAATTGTAATGCCCTATTTTCTTTCGCAGCCATGTTTTGGTTCAAGTTTGGATTGTCAACAAGATGTATTTTTAGTCATTGTCTTGTTGAGTAATACGCTATGCCTTGCTACCTTGTGTTGGAAATATTTATATGTTTGTTTATCTAAAGACGAGGTACTCAGGATTAAAACATATATAAATTTATAAAATTTAGAACCTCAAAAGCCAGAAAATGTAAAGGTCATTGGGACAAATATAAATACAATGTCGATAGCATGGAACAGTCCAATTGTCCCAAATGGCGTCATACGCCGTTTCGTCGTGCGTTACAAGGTGTGCCCAGAAAACAGCACATTTATTGAGAGAAATGTCGGATTGAGGACACACTATACAATAACAGACCTGGAGCCAGGTCAGTATACATGCATATCGACACGGAGCAACCTTGTTAATATGTATCAATAACACAAATTGCTAGAACAAGTGAAACTGTCTATTTATAGTTTCTCGAGATAGTAGATTGAGTACTGCCATCTCATCGTTTACTCCATTGTTACGCCTTTATCTTGCATAGGTCTTCCGTATGAATTCCACGTGTCTGCTGTTAACAGTAAGGGATCTGGTGACCACTCTGATCCAACTATATACCCTACTGATGAATTCGGTAAGCATGCAGTTTTTACAACGTTTGGACTTTGACATGTACATGTATTTTGACACGTTCAGTTAGTAAAGCTAACTTTGGTCTCACACTTTTATTTCTTATCATTCATTATTCAAATACGACGTAGAAGCATTTGACATGTTCTAACTACCCTGAAAACACATTGTATTGTAATGACTTCAGTATGAATGAAATGTCCCTTGGTGTTCTGGTCTTGGATTGTGATATTGATTCTTGAATGGTGGGGGAAAGGGGGTATTAGACATTGTTTCCTTTCACGTTAGATCATGGTTTTGGACTATATGGGGTTTGTTTTTCTTGACTGGTATGCACTTAGAGTTTGCTTTTTCTTGGTAAGTTCCATTACAACTTTTGGTCCTTTCCCTTCGGCACATGTGCTTAGATATTGTGTTAACTAACATTAACAAAATCTATTTTACTGTAAACTATTGAAATTGCCTGCATTCACATTTTTATGACAACCACTATTTTGCTATTATTCATTATATCTCTAAAATATATCATCTGAAAATATATTCTCTGAAATGTAAATGATGATGGGGTAAGGTCACCAATTTTACTGTAACGCTCGGTGATATTTCGTGGTAATGTTAACAAAACAGTGCAACGCAAGGAGTGATCATATAGAAGGGGTGCGAACTATGACAAGAAATAAAAGTTCTGGAACAAAATTAGTCTCACTTACTGATCGCCCTGTACATACTTTAGGATGTTTTGTCAATTCCGAGGCCTTAAAGTTCTGTAATTCAGTGACCGAGAATATGCTATTTCCTCGCCTATTTCTGTGTAGGAAGATTTGGCGACATGCGCATTACGAGTACTACATCCGACACGTAGACTATGTATGCTGCACGTCGATTTGAGCACCTTTCATAACAGATAATACACCATTGTTTATGATTAGGGAATATTTATCAACTGTCTTAACTGGTTAATCTGGTTAATTCATTCCGAAGCTTTATCAGCAGGGTACTTAAACGTTTATAAGATCAATGATGATACGGTTGTGTACTATCATCATTGTATAGCGGTCATTTTATCTGCTTTATTTCTGAAAAAACTTCTTAAAGTCTATATTGCATTCAATTTTCTTTATTTACGAACTCAAATTATTTTCAGTTTCTCAGAGCATTTGTAATTTTGAAGTGCCTAATATTACTGCAAGAAGTGCAACACTCATGTGGGAGAAACCTGAGGTGTCAAATGGAGTGATTCGACACTATGTAATAAGAGTTCAACATTTTGGAATATGTCAGAGAGCGATCATATTCAATGTCACACATACACCGCCAAATGATAAAAGATGCTGGGTAAGACTGTTCTTTTTATTAAGAATTGTTAAGTAGTTCCAAATAAATATTGATTATGCGATGGTTCAGTCGATTATGACATTGATGTGTGGTTCTAGAGCGCTAACTGCAATGCTACGACAGTGGATACGATACTACAACCATGGACTTCCATAAACATCTATCTTACATGAAGTACACCGATAAGGAATTTTCTGTTCACTGCACCTGTTTGACTTGTGTTTTTTGCATTATAGAAAGATCGGCGTTATAAAGATCTTGATGACCCTGTACCTTTGCCAGATGGTGTCGGTGAAATTAAGAAATGCTCTAGGTTTGAACAAGGAGGCATCGTTAATTACGATGATCAAGTTGTATATGCATTGCTGGGTTTAATTCCCTTTCACAATTATAGCATTGTGGTTGCCTCTGTCAACTATTTCACTAAAAGGATTGGAGTCGGCAGAGTTATCGAATTACACACTCCGGAGGACAGTAAGCATGTACTCTTTCTTAATCAAATGTGCGTGCGTGGGCATTAATTCCAATAACATTTTGAAAATGGTGTAACATTAAGTTAAGTCACCAATAAACGTTAATATGATTAAACGGATTGAGGCAGGGACGCATGTTAAGTGAGAATATGAAGTCAAACATTCGAATTGTAAAAAAACATCGAAACAATTTGTATACTCTATCCGACACTTTGCTTATCTCACTTGTTACAAATTACAAATCTTTTTAAAATCCCTATATAATTTGTTTGTTTAATGATTATCCTTGAATTTCTTTTTGGATATGATAGTAAAACTTACTAAACTCTTTTAAAAGAAGCCTAGAATAAAATTGTGTGTTTACATTTAGATATAGATGCAGAAATAATTCATGCGTTATATATGCATTGATATATGCATTATGTGTTGAGTTTTCAACAGAATATCTGAATATTGAGACAGGTATATATGAAATTCAACAAGTATATACAATTTATATGCTAAACGTTAACATTTTTGACATAGAATAATATCACACTTTGTTATTAATTATTGGTTACATGCGACGACATGTTCGCAAATAACTGTGAACATTTTACAAATGCATTTCAGAACCCGATGGTTCACCAACAGATCTCAAACTATCAGCCGTGTCATCAACTAGTTTAAATATAACCTGGGGCAGAACGAAGCTGCCTAATGGCATAATTACAAGCTACACATTGGTGTATCGGGAGGCTTCAGGTACAGATAATGTAAAGATCACCACAGATGCGGACTTCGTAGGGATACAGGGCCTTAAAGTATATACAAAATATTTAGCCAAAGTGAGGGCGCATAACGCAGTTGGTTGTGGACCATGGAGTAATGAATCATTTGGATACACTGGCGAGGAAGGTGATTTTGAATGATTGTCATTGGAAATACTTGTATGATGCTTACAGCTATTAAAGCCAAAAAAGTGCAAGAGTATAATTCTAAATTTTGCCTGCACAATTTGCTGTTCATGATTAAAAAGGGTGATTAAAACAGTTTTTGATTTGTTAGTTTGACCTTACTTTTGACGGCACATGACTGAAACTTGGTATCAATAAATCTACAGTATATATAATTCATAATTTGGTTCAAAAGTATAAAAATATATTTCAAGGATCAAAGGAAGTCAATTTTAATTTGGATTGACGATTTGTTTCTCTGTACATATTAAGTAGGCCGAAATATATTTCAGCTCCCGGGGATGCTCCGACTGGCATAGTTTTAATACCACGTGGCAGGTCATTTGCAGTTAGATTTAACACACTGAGTAGACCTAATGGAGTTATTACTACCTATGAAAGCCTTAATCACAACTTAGATTCGAACATAAGTTATACACAAAATTACACCATTCTTTCTACAGCAACATTATTAAAAAACAGCGAGGTTATTACAATAACTGACTTAGAACCATTTACAAACTATAGTATAAGGATCAGAGCGTATACAAGTGTAGGGAGTGGTCCATGGAGTGAACCCGTTTTTCAAACTACACTCGAGGCAGGCAAGTATTTTTAGATTGGTTTATGTTAAATCTATATTTCATTATAATTTTGAACTTATTAATGTAGTCCTGTTGAATCAAAACTTTAAGGGGATTTTGATTATGAAATTCGTACAAGAGAGGTAAAAACCTAAATGTAAAGTCTAACATTCTTGATAAGATATATATATCATGCTTTAGCACCTGGAAAAGTATCCAATTTTAGTGCCTGGCCGGCTAATTACACGACTGTCCATTTATCATGGGCTCCACCAGTGAAACACAATGGTATCCTGAGAGAATTCATCATCATCATTTCAAATGGCAAAAAGAACAATACAAAAAGGGTTACAGCTAAAACATTAGATTACACTGTTACTGGATTACATGGTTACACTAACTATACCTTGGGAGTAGCAGCGGTAACTACTGAAGTCGGGGTCATTTCCCTACGCAATATTCACACTCCAGAAGGACGTACGTTGCTTTAATATTAAGTCTTCGACACACTGTATTCATCATCTCTGTGATAATTGTTTGAAATAAAAGTCTAGTTCCTAAAATAGATAATTCTTTAAGTTGTTTGTTCAGCTTTGCCATTGCAATCTATTAGAATATTCCCAACTTTATAATAAATAATAAATGGAAATAGGTTGTTTTCAACTTATTACAGGAGTATTAGGTATTATTAGCATTATTAGGGGAGCATGACAACTACATGGTTATAGGTGTCTTTTAACAGTGCTAAATAAGGAATTACAATAGTTTAACCATATAAGTTAAATTCATGTCTTTTTCATACACGTTCATGCCACAATGCCGCAGTTTTATTCCTTAACTATTATTTTTCCTACGTTGTTTATATGTTTGTTTTCTCAACTCTATCTCCTATGGTTTCATAACATATTCATATGCTAATTTCCAGCTCCTGATGATGCACCTACAGACATAGATCTAATTCCACAAAGCAGATCATTTACAATCAGATTTTACACACCAAAGAGACCAAATGGAATTATTACTGTTTTTGAAACCCATATCCATAATTTGGATATGGGATCACACAAAAGAGAAAATCACACCGTGCCATCGATGGATGTAATCATTTCAAAAACCGCCGAAACATTTACAATAAAAGGTTTGGAGCCATTTACAAGATATAGTGTACGAGTTAGGGCATATACACGTGTGGGGACTGGACCATGGAGTGATGTGGCCATTAAAAGGACATCACAAGCAGGTGAGGCAGTTTATCTTCGTGAGTTCGATTCAAATCAAGACGCCTATGTAAAAGAGCTAGAATCGTTAGTGCTATAAATAACATGATAAAATCCTGACAACGGTTTAAATACATCAATTATCTAAATAAAACTATTTTCCAGCTCCAGATGACGCCCCTACCAACTTGATTATCATCCCATTAGCCAGATCATTTATGATTAGGTTTGAACCCTTGAATAAACCGAACGGGGTTATTACCACTTACGAAAGCTTTATTCAGAACCTGGCTACAGAGACAAATCAAACACAAAATTATACAGTCTCCTCTAGAAATGGACTGCCTTTAAGTATCGATGCAAGAATTAACATAACTGACTTAGAACCATTTACAAACTATAGTGTAAAAGTTCGAGCATATACTTATGTGGGAAGTGGTCCATGGAGTGGTCTTGCATATCAAACTACATTAGAAGCAGGTACGTATATCAACTGGCTATATTTCCGAAGCTTTACAAAATTCACCTCCTTTTTGAATAATGAAGTATATTTCAATTATGAAAGATATTTCATGATTAAGAAGATCATTTTGGATTCAATGTCAAGGTGTACATACAGTGCAAGTATTTTCAAAGCTCACGCCATGCCATGCCGTCGAGATGCCGGCTACTGCGTGCATCGCGACCGCTGCGCGCCCGCTCTTCGTCTGTACGCCGAGCGCTCTTCGTGCTCACAGCGACAGCGATTCTACTGCTTAGCTAGCGGACTAACGGAGGAATTTATGAAATACTGCCTTAGTATTCATGTTTTGCATCCAATGAAACAGTAAAAACCAGAAAAGCAACACAATTAATTGATTTCATCTCAATTTCTTTTCTCTAGCTCCTGGACACGTATCAAGCTTCGGGGCCTATCCGATTAACTACACGACTGTCTATTTAACATGGAGCCATCCTTTAGAGCGAAATGGTATTCTTAGAGGATTTGTCATCATTGTATCAAACGGTACTTGGCAAACAACAAGAGTTCAACATACTACCATGGAGTATTACGTAGTGGGTTTACACGGTTATACTAACTATACATTTGGTGTAGCAGCAGTTACAATAGACGTCGGAGACGTAGTCGGTAGACAAGTTCAAACGCCAGAAGGTCGTAAGTTAATCTTATAGTGATGAATTCTATTCAGATTGATATTTTGACCAATCTTAATGTTTTGCATCATGCAAATATTCAAATATATTTATGTTTTTGTTATCTATAAAGTTTTTCCGAACTTGCTGTGAAACTTTATTTCCATTTCCGTAGATAAAGGTCACCATTTTTACTAAATTGATGAGTTCCATAGTAATGTAAACAAGCTATAGCTATGGAATAGTTCACCGGTGTATATACTCATAAATAAGTAAAATGTGTCCAGACGGCAATTTCGTTCATTAACCCTAATGTGTACAACATATTTGTTTGATTGAAAACGGGCTTCCATAGCATTTACTTAGCATAAATTAAATTTTACGCTATTGTTTATAATTCTGTGTTTAGCACCAGGAGATGCACCTACGGATTTAGTTATGATACCACAAGATAAATCAATTATATTGAGATTTTCTCCACCAAGTAAACCAAATGGAATCATTGTGGCATATGAAAGCCAAATACACGATTTGGAAAGAGAAAGAAACAAAACTCAGAATTACACTACCTCTGTTACATTAGTAACTAATCCGAATAACGCCCAAAGCCTTATGATTAGTGGCTTGAGGCCATTTACAAACTATAGTGTAAAGGTCAGAGCATATACAAGGGTGGGAAGCGGTCCTTGGAGCGAAACAATCACGCAAAATACACTCAGAACAGGCAAGTGTTTTCATAGTAAACAGGTAAGGTTCGCTAGCTTCTTGTAATGTAATTTTCAGTATAAAAACTGTTTGCAAGTTGTCGTTTGAGATTTGCCTGATACATTTATTTAATATTTTAGTTTGATCAAAATCGTGTACTAAAACACATTTTCGCGATGTGTAAGCTAACCGAATGCCTTTTAAATTAGGTCTGTTATAAATATTTTTATTGTGGAATCAAACAGAATAACATATTTATTTTCAGTGCCTCGACCGAACATACGGGTTGAAATGATTGCAGGAATTACAGTTGGTTTAAGTTGTCTTTTGGCATTAATGATCATTATCGTTGCGATTGTCGTAAAAAAGAGAAGGTCAGTCTTTAGTTATTATTTCAAGCAACACCGACCTAAAATGATGTGTTCTTTTTAAAGGACCGCGAGTTGTTTGTAGACTGAATTAGGGTAGTTTTTTCATGCATTTCGCTTGTGTTTTTCACTTAAAAAAACATCAATACACATCAAACATCTAATTGACTATAAGGTTGCACCATATACTCCCAAAAAATATTTTTTATTTTCGAGGATTATCTCTGGATTAACACCCAGATATTGTTATTTTTCAAACTTTAGAGGGCTGGGAATCATTATTACGATCTCTTTGACTAATATTAATGCTGTTTTAAATAGGTTTCATGTATGCCAATAATTTCTCAAATTGTGTAAATGGTAACTCTTCCTTAATCCGTAGAATTATATCTTTGAGGAATATCCCATGTTAATCCAATGGTATAGTTCCAAGCAGATTTTAGATAACAGGAACGTTAATCATTAATACACACCTTATTGGGTTGTTTTGGCTTATATTTCAAGCCAATGAGTTGTGTCTTTCCTGTTATCTCAAAATTTTCTTGGAACTATACCGTTGGATTACGGGATTATGGGAAATCCCTCAAAAAGAAAATCCTTGGGATTGAGGAATTTTGACAAACAATCTGAGAAATTATTGGCATGCATGAAACCTATTTAAAGCAGCATCAATATTATTCAAAAGTGATCGCAATGACGATTCCCAACCCTCTTTAAGTTTGAAAACTAACAATACTTGGTTGTTAATCCATAGATAATCAACAAATAATCCTTGAAAATGAGAAATATTTTATAGGATTATATGGTGCAATCTTATAGTCAATAAATTTTTTTAAAGTGTATTGATGTTTTTTTTTAGATGAAAAACACAAGCGAAATGCATAAAAAAGCTCCACAGATTCAGTCCACAAACAACTTGCGGTCCTTTCAGACATAAAGACCTAGCATTATCTAAACGTTCTCACAATTCTCTGTCACTTGGGACGACAATAAACAATAGTACAGACAATCAAACAAATATCACCGGTTGTGATCATTTTTAATTGTCTTTAAAACAGTGCAATCATTTCTTGGTGCATAGCATGATAATGTCGATTGTATTTATTAGATCAGGGGAGGTATACCATCATGCGCTGCACTTTCTATTTAATAGTATAGTTTATTGTTCCAGGATTGCATCAAAACAAAAAAGCACCGGGGACATCGCCCATTCAGAAGAACCCCATACAGGCATTGATAAGCAAAACAATAATGAAATTCAAACGCAACCATGTCATCCCAATGGACACGATTCTGATGCTATTGATAATGTACGAATACCTGTTGAAAAGCAAATAAAGCTACTACTATGGTCATTAGTAATGAAAGACACTAGTACTACAGCATGAATAATAGAAGAAACTATGGCATAATGGGAGACATTTCAGTGTTTTACTGAACGGGTTTCACAAAAAGGAGTGCTTAACGATATGAAGACTAAGTATTATTATAGCAATGGCACAGGGGTAGCCGGGTTAATAACCGGACACTCCTTCGCAAGACGACCTTCCTTGGTGGCATAATTCATTTGATTAGTAAACACAGGGTGTCTCAAAATGTGTGCCCAAAGTATATCAAAAACATAGACAAACCAATTAACATGTTTAGACATTTTTTGCATGGTATTGTTGTCAAAGGATGAACGTTTTCCCCATATACACAGTTTTTAATTCAGTTTTGCCTTTTTGATATTTTAACCCGTTACCTTTTACACCACATATTCAATGTAACCTCATATTTCGACGACAGTCTGCATCCTTACTATTACATTGTTCATCACATTTGATATTTCTGGTGGAGTGTTTTGATTTCTGTTCGAATGCTAGTCTTAGGTTGTTCTAGGCCTCTTAGCTTGGGTTTAGCATAAAAATGGTCCTTCAAATAGCCTCAGAGAAAAAAGCATTGCCCGTCAAATATGGTAAATAGGGAGGCCCTCACAATGTCTTATAGCCCCTTATACAGAGAGGTCAGAGGTTCAAGAAACTGCGTTGGTTGGGAATCTAGTGTAGCCTTTGTTGTGTGTATCAATTTGAGACCACTGTGTTTTCATTTGGATATCATATAGTTTCCAGGCTAGCCTGCCTAACTCTGGAAGATAACTCCTGAATCATTTGCCTATAAAAGACCTGATTCTCTGTGTTTGTTCTGCCATCGTTATCCTCGAACATCTTTTTCTGTGACTATTTGAAGGAGTGTTTTAATGCTCAATCCAAGCAAAAATACCTAGAACAACTTAAGGGCAACATCCAAAGAGAAATCCAAAACATTCCACAGGAATTATTATTAAATGTGATGAACAATGTGGCAGGAAGGATGCAGGCCGTCATCGAAATGTGAGGTTACATTGATTATGAGGTATAAAAGGTAAAGGGTTAAAGCATCAAAAAGGCGAGACTGAAATAAAATCATGGTGTATTGGGAAAAAACGTTCATGTTTTGGCTACATGACCATGCAAAAAATGTCTGAAAATATTAATTGGTTTATCTGTGCTGTTGATATACTTTTGGGTACATTTTTGAGACATTAAATAGCAAGTCCCGTAACCAAAAACTACAACCATTTTCATCATTGAAAGAGCACAACTTGCCAAATAATTGTTAGATTTACTGGATAATAAAATAATGTTTGTTAATTTTAATCAATTCAACGTTCATGTTATTGCAGTTTAAAAGTTTGAACCTTAACCTTGACTTTTATTAAAGTTTGCGAGCATTTCAGTAAACTCTCTTTCTCCCAACAGCCATATTTGTTTACCGAAATATTGACATGGGTTCTGAATTATTTTTTCTCCAAATAAATATGATATGAGATGTTGAAAACGACGTTTCTGGTATGTTCTTCAAATATTTCTTTAGGTTTCTGCAAGAGAGCGTGGAAGACGTCGTGGCACAACGCTTCCAATTTTTTCTTACGCATTTGAAAATCAGATTGCCATTTCATGTCCCGTTATGAGCCAAATGTTGTTCAAAAAGTTGTTTACGGTTTTTGTATCACGCATGCCTTTGATTTCAAGTTACAACCTGAATAGGAATATAATATAATGTAAAATTGTATTTTAAAGTTATAAAGTCGGCTACATTTATTTCCTTCGTACAATGTCGTTTTCCTTCTGAATCTTACATAATCATTCAGAAATAACATCCTTGTGTCCACAAGCTTTATGACTTTTGTTATATAAGAGTGTATTGACATTTTAAAGGTTTTAAACCTCATTAGTTAATGTTTTATTAGATACATTGATTCACAAGTATAGTATCGTCGTATATTATAGACTGCGACTGGTGTCACTGTTTCTTTTTACCATAACATCCGATGACTGCCATTCGTGTGCAGTTGTAACTCTCTTCCAACTCGCACTGCCCGATAGACAATTCATGGCCCAAACACTTTGCTTTGACAATGGGCCAAAAAAATTTATTGCGAGGGAAGTACTTCCTTTAAGAGTTTAAATAGCCACGCACTCTAGCAATGGGAATTTCATATTGACGTACACTAGGTAAAATGAAATATTTTCTTTTACCAGTGGTAGAGAAGCAAACGACCTCACTGAGGTTACCGTCCTTTTCATCATCACATAACCATCGCCATTTTTCTTTTCCTCGATGTCCAATATTCAGTTGAAGCATTCCACGTTTCAATGGCTTCCATATGTCTATCCGATGGCAAAATACGATTGCTCTTTTGTTAGATATGCATGACGCTTCGTTACCAAAATTAAAGGTGCACTCTGCAATGTTTGCTTCATCGCCATTACATGTCACATTACTCATTATAATTGGATTTTCCATACCTCCTGTGATGTTATTTGTGTCAAAGCCTGCATACATGGGCATATCTAAGCAAAAGGAAATATGTGATACAAAGAGACCTAAATAATTGTGTCACCATTTAATACATAGTAGCCTGGATAGAAGTGTTCAAGGGTCACATTTTCTTTTTAATATGTACATATTTGAAAACTAAAGTAAAATTCTGACGTACAATTAAAAAATATTTAAGGAACATCTCTTAATTTATGAGTATTCATAGTACGTTTTTGTTATAGAATATTGATGACAAAATCTGGACCACTAGGTTCGCCTTTGTATCATCTCAATGTATATATACTGCGAACATGTTGATGACAGGTTGAGTAAATACCATGAAGTGAATACAAGGATGATACACAGAAAATGTATGCCTACATAATTATTGGAATACGACGTTTAATTGTCTACTCAAAAGTCGCCATTCAATTGACGTTCATAAATTATATTATGCGTTTATACCAAAATGTGTGTTATGCAGATGTGTGGGAGTGTCTAAAATATATTAATCTATTAAGTTTAATCATACCCTCGCCTGAAATGCTTTCTATTATTTTATGGAGGGATGTAACATATATTGACGTTTTACAAAGAGAGCTTACGAGTTGGTTGGTTAAATGCGCCTGCTTGTCTGCATAGTACTTGCGTTTCTTTGATGCCCCAACCTGTAGCACAAATGGCTCCAATCGGCTTGTTTGGGACATGTACTTCTACTTGGCCTGTGTAAGGATACTCTGGCTTTGCCTTGATGTATTCACGTATACCTATTTGATGAAAAATACAAATTTCTGATTAAACAGTTAAACCACACTTAAATTGTTACAATTGTTTCAAACAGGGTCGTTAAGAGGTCGATAATGTATTTAGGGACGTTCCGCATTAATCGGCTTATCATCTACATAGTGGAAATTAAGTCCTTCTAGGGGAGTCTTATTTTCAGCAACTGGAAATTATGTAGAGTCATTTTTAATAAGACATGGAAAGCTAGCGTATTTTGAATATGTTGTTGTAAGTGAATAATGACCTGGCCGATGATCCCAGCACTTCACACCTATATTGTAATAATCACACGTTGTATAATAGTGTCGATCTCTCTTAATCATACATCCGATTCCTAAGTCAGTTTCCGTACATATAAACGAAGCATAATCCTTCTTGACTGGATCAGAGAGTTGTTCATAGAATATGGGAACAGCATGCTGAGGAGAGAATCCCAAATTGTCACATATTACGCTTGCCTCTGTTTCAGTCCAGCTATCACTACAGAGGCTTGCGTTAAGTAACTCCGGCTTACCAGAAGGACCATCGGGATCATTCAAATGTATCTTTACAGAATTTGAAAAATCACACACGACATATATCATATCACATGAGCCATAATTCATTACTATCCATACGAAAGATGCACAATCGTGCAAACTGTCTTCAGATCCATTGCAGCCCAGACGTGTATGAACGTGGACAGGAGTGGACCATATATATTGTTTGTATGTGACTATATTCCCTCTTTTGATGCCTAAATGTTTGCACATGACTCTAGACTCATTCATGTTCCATTCATCCCGATCATCATCATGTCTACATACAGGTAACCACGTGGAGTCATTAACAAGAACCTCAACTACGCCATATGTCCCGTCACTTAGTCGAATCGATGGAATGTCACATGATACCTAAGCACTTCTACACCTTTCCCCTGACCCAATTTTCCATGTTGTATGGTGGCATTCTTCCAAATGATTATGGGAACCTCGACAAGAAATGTCCGTATACAAAACATGTTGGGGTTGGGGCTTTGATTTGAATTCCGAGTAGCTTTCTAGACTTTCTACAATAATAACATCAATGCCTGCCTTGTAGCCAAGCTGCCGACAAACTGCCAGGGCAACTCCAAATGTCCACTGGTAATAAGTGTTACACACAGTGAACCATGTCCCGTTAAGATAGACCTTCAGGTCTCCATATGAGCCTTTATCCAACTTTATGACAGCATCGGAGACATCACCTTTTAGTAAATATTAATAGATATTTGACAAGCGTGACGGGTATGACGTATGCATGATATCATAGAATTAATAAATTTAAATAAATTCAGTTCTTAAAGCTTGCAATTGATGAAACGAGGCAACTATTTGTTGACTTTGTGAAATAATTAACACAGGATGGTATCAGAAGATTTGTCCGCTGTGACGGAGCATGCTATTTTCATAAAAACAAGCCTAGCTATTTTGGTCTAAACGCATTTTCAAATTTATCTTGAGCTAGAAGCAATTTAAAAGATTAAAAAGGTATCAAATTTCGGTTGGCTAGAATTCTTTAACACAATGGCGTGACCTTACATGACCTTTATGTTAATGCTGATGGCTTAGTGTTCAATTAGGTAGATAAGTTTAATATGGGGGCTATAGGATGCTTCGATCAACCACATAACTTGACTTAACACTAAGAATACTTCACGATTTATTTTTTATTTCATATGTTCCGTCATATCAAAGAAAATTACTTACTCCATGCAATGGATATATAGTTTGCGGGTAACCTTCACTTCTGTTTGAAGTCGAATAACGCTAGGAGTAAAAGCTATTGAATACGGCACCAGCGTATCAAACTCTAAAGTGTACCATTTCTTTTTTAATTTTTTAATGGCGTGATATAGTGACGATGATATTAACAAATGTTTCGGCATAACTCTGAATGTATTACTGAGATATGGATGTATTGGGTCTTATCAATTTTTTATAAAAACTAATGTTTACATCTTTGTCCACTGTGACGGAGCAGTTTTACAGTTCACATTTGTAATTGCGCTCTCACAGCGGACTAAAAACTTTATTTTTAACCAAAGAATTAAAAAAATACACTACATCAACATCTCATTAATACCTTCATAGTTATGCTGAAAACATATGTTAATATTATCGTGTTACTATATCGTGCCATTAAAAAGTTACACAAAATTTTCGATACTAGCCTGTGATTAATAAATGACTTTAGACATACTTTTAATAGGCTCATCTGGACATGCTATGTATCTGTGTCTTCCGTTTGAGCTACACATATGCAAGTTGAATCCTATCTCTATCCCGCTACATTTTGATAGATCTTCTAATACAGCATTACCTTCGTCACAGTCAATAACAGCCTCAGCATGTGCATATTTACTTGTATGTACACTTGTGGCATAGGCTGTCTCTAATCCTAGCCACTTGCATGCCACATGTGGACTCACATGACAAGCAATGTACCATCCCCTAGGTGTAGAGATTTCAAAAAATCCAATTTTTAAACCAGATGAAATTGTTCCTTGTCTTAGTCTGAATTGTGGTTCACATACCACATTTAGATGATTCCAACAACGTCTTGTTTTATCACAATCGTAATAAAATGATTTGCAGTCTTTGAAGTCTCGTTCACTACCGTCACATATAATCTCATACTTCCAAACGGGTCCTCTATATATAGGATATGCAGGAACAAACCTACCACCGGACAAACCAAAATCATAACCAAAGTTCCTGCAGGCTACATCTGCGAGAGGTTTCTCATATAAGAATTGAGATCCATAATAGCATAGTCTTCCCCATGCTCCGCCATGAACTATCTCGATGATTCCTGATACCATGCGGATCGCATCTTCATTTTCATATTTCTTGCATATCACTGTTGCATCTTGTTGATCCTGGTAAACACCGTATAAACTTTTTTTTATATAATTTTCTCATACATTTGCCTCATAATTATGGAAACGAACTTCACAATACATGTATAGGGATGGTCAGGAAAATTAGTACATATTAGCTATGAGGTTATTCTCAAAATAAAAGCAGAACCATACACCATTCCCCCTGACTATAGTGTGATTTTTTTAATAAAACATATGGTCAGCGGTCATTGAGTTTTTACCTTACCTTTACTTTGCATTTTTGTTTCATTCCGTAGTGCAATTGTGTCATTTTGCATTGTCCAATATATGTTTCATCACCATTGCACATAACACTTTCGAAACTGTAATGCAACGGTGGCTGATAGCCCCATATGGAAATCGAGTTTTTTCTGTGCTTTTGGCGTTCTAAAAGCATTTTTATACATGTTTTTCTCATTCAATCATTTATTTTCACATAAAATCAACAATATGGATTACACTAGGGACTCAGTATTCAACGGAAATCATTCGTTATTACATTTGTTCTGTCTAAAGCCTTTGAATTATTTTATGTAATTTGTTTGTTTTTTACAAGTGTATGTATTTCTCCTTATAAATAGCAT